TTGTTCAAATTTTGTTTCGTTTCACTTTTCATTTTATTTCATCATCTTCGATTTTGTGTTTTAAATTCAACGTTTTTTGTTCGCATATCGAAATCTTCGCAAAAATCACTGTTCAGGTTTTGAAAATGTCCGCAGTTGGTCAAATTTGTAGAAAAAGGTCAATTAATAACTGACGGACTCTCAACTCATTTCATCTTGAAAATCTCCGCTGATTTTGTTTCTTTTCTTCATTCTTCTTCGAAAATCAACGGCCACATAATTACTTCCGTTGAATCTCAGTTTGACTTTGTTTAAACACTAAAGTTTAAGGAAGAGTGCAATGAAAGAACGAAGCAAAGCAAATCACGTGAAAATGCTGACATCTCCAATCATAATTGAACTATACAGTAAAGTAATAATGGCAATGATAGAAGTGATGAACTTTGAACTGCTCTTTATTCATCGCATTTCAGGTCGCCGAAATAGAAGTTAAAGTGATGTGAGCTGACAAATGAAGTTATTACATTCGAATTGAAATATATAGAAAGTTGTTACTGAACTCGAGAAATAGTTGTCAAAGGTCTTCTAATGGTCATCTATTGAAACGAAACATTTCGAGTGAGAAATATATGATTTGTGAGAAGAGATTATTAATCCGATGATGGCATCACTTTCATTCTTTCGAATGCTGCTTTTTCCAAATTCTCCCGTTGACTTGGATGTGAAATTTTGATCAGTTCATACGCCCGTTGTCGCATATTTTTGCCCCATAATTGAGCTATACCGTATTCGGTGACCACATAGTGGACATGAGCCCGTGATGTCACCACTCCTGCTCCCTGTTGATGATTAATTCAAAACAAAAGTGAAATTAAAAACATTCGAAATGATTTAATGAAATTATAACATAATACTTACCTCATTAATATATGGTACAATCCTGCTTTGGCCTTTTTTAGTTGTGGAAGTAAATGCAATTATAGGCTTCCCAAGACCATCATCACTTATTGCTGCTCCTCGAATAAAGTCCACTTGGCCGCCAAAACCAGAAAGGAAACGGCTTCCGACAGAATCCGCTACCACTGAAGCATTTCTCAATATTTCAATAAAACACAAAAAACCGAAACATTTAGGTTAACAAACTCACAATAATTTTCACTCGCTGATTTTATTGATTGAAAAATTAAGTAACTAAGAGAACTAGATGATGGCTTATCATTCAACCTTATCAATACGGATCAGAGAAACAACTATTTTACCTTGGCCAGTTAAATCAATTTCAACAGCCGAATTTATGGCAGTCATTTTTGGCATCAATCGTATTGTTGTCGGGTTGTTTACCCAGCCTACATCAGCACACAATATGTCAGAATTGCCATCCACAAAGTGATAAAGCTTATCAGATCCGTGAATAAATGTGGCCACAATCTGTCATTAACGAATATGATGAATGTGGATATCATATTCCCTCAGATAACAGAATTAAATATAGCAGTAACTAACTTTTCCAGGAAATACTGTCTTTTTCGAATTTGTAATTGCATTACAATCAACAAGTTTTAATATTCCATCTGAAAGCATTTCGGTATGAATCCCGAGATCTTTATGGTTGGTCAAGGATGCTAAAATGGAATCTGGAATTGTGCCAATGCCTGAAATGCTACTATTGTAATTAATTATTCATTCCATTTCATCTAAATCTCGAGAAGTTTGGATGAGAGAGATTATTCTTACTCGTTCATATCTTATCTTGAATTTATTATCCTTACATTAGAACATTGGAATTTAGCTTAAAGCATCTGTTGATCCTAAATAGCAGCATGTATTAATTAGATTTGTAGTAATAGTAGCAAGACTATTTTGTCTTTTTTGTTTCGTTTTTTTTTTTTCTCTCACAATTCCATCAATCTTCTCCTAAACTGATTTTTATGTGTGTATAAAAGGTCCAATAGTATAATTGTAAAGTAGTACAAGCCAAAATTCACATCTCTATCATTTAATTAAGAAATAAAATTAAGAGCAAAATCTCTCGTTTTATAATGTTTAAGAATCAAATTAACCTGTCTGTAATGTAGCGCCATTATCCACAAGATTATTTGCGACGATTTCGCCAATTTTTTTTTCATTAATTGTCACACTTTCGCTAATTTCTCGCTCATATAAAGGAAATTCCATTTCAATCATAACATCAATATCATTTTGATGGATAATTGAATCACCAAATGTACGGGGCATATTTTTGTTTGATATTGCTGAAATTTTTAAAATTTTAGCGCTCAATTAGATTATGAAATGATTAATTACTTACGAAGTAGGCAGTCTCATTTCTAAAATATAATGCAATGAATGATTTTACTTATTATATTAGGGTTTTTTTTTTAAAATGATTTCTTTTGTTAAAAGATGGAGAAGAAACATACCAATGATATGATCTGCTTGAGTGATAGCAGCACAAGCAACATCCACGTTTGTACCTAAGGTGCAATTGCCAAAATTATCTGGTGGAGAAACCTGAAATAGAATTATGATTCGAAATCTATATGAAAAAGATAAAAATCTTTGACATGTTAGAATATAGATACCTATTTTCTCTTACATTTCAATAAAATAGATAAACAAAAAAAGATTACAGTTAGCAAAGCAACATTGAGTTTAATTGCTCCTCTTCGAAAAAGCAAAGGCACTTCATGTAAAAATATTGAGTTGAAATCAGCTAGACCTGAAAATTTTCAGCAGATTCCTCTATCTCATTTTTTTTTTCACCAATGGAAATATTTTAAAAGTTGAATTCTTAAATTTTTTTTAATGAAAAAAATCTTCTAGAAATTCGAGATGAAGTAAAAAATCGATTTTTGAACCATTTTGGCAAAAGAAAAAAGTTCCTTACAAATAAAATAACAAATGAAATATCTGAAAAACTAACCATCATTAACCGCCCTCCTTAAATTTGCACCAGTAAACAGAGAATTTGATCGGATACGATCTAAAAAATTTTGCACTCAATTTGTTTTATGTTGTAAAATTTAATAGAAAATGGTTTCCTAGTAAATTATCAAAGAAGCACTTCTAAAATCAGGTTGAATCCATTTGATCGGTCCCTCCAAATGTAAATGATGTAGCGTTAATTTTTTCAAATCATTAGCTAGTGCATAATCACATAAACCTTCCAGTAGTAACGTTGGTGTTGCAGCCATTCCATGTGCAAATATATGATCACCTGAACATTAATAAACAATAATCACTTAAATATTGATAAACAATGATAGTAAGTAAACAAATTTCCCCGAGCATTATTACAAAAATAAAAATTTTATAAGCAAAAAAAAAAAATTTTATAAAATAAAAATTTAGACGAAAATATGTGTGAAGGTTAATTTAAACAAGAGAAAGATTGTGAGCAAATGTGAAGCTTATTTTTATGTAATTATTTCCTAATTAGTCAAAGTTTGTGATAGGAAATCATAAAATGTTCAGAATACAAATAGAGTACGCTAATTTGCATAAAAAGATGGATATAATTTAGGAGATTATTTACGCGAGATTACAAAATTATATTCTTCAAAAGTTTCTCAATCATGTATTATGTAGCAAATAGCATGCAAAAAATTATGTTTAATTCGCTTAACAATTTTTACAATCTTTAATTGTGCGGAAAAAAATTGCACAAAAAAGAAAAATCATTGAAAAATTACAAAAATGAATTATTGTTGAGAATTTTAGGATGCTTTTCATTAATTTACAATGTAATTTTGAAAATGAATGATGCACCTACCAGATTTAATCCGACCAAAAGCATCTTTAATATCAGTAACAATTTTTGTCTGCTTTCTACCAACTCGATAATTATATTTCTGATTTTTCAGTGATGGTAATGTTGTTGAATTTAAACGAAAGCTTAGTGATGAGATTATCACAGATCGTGATAACAAATTCATTCTTCCAAATAAGATTCCGTGTTAAGGAATTATTTCTGCAAAATGAGTCAGAATCGATGATTAAGTTTGGAAAAGGAAAAGTTGCATAATTTAATCACAAAGCATCTTGCATAAATTAATTTTATTAGACTTTTAATTCAACGCAATTTATTTTTGATAAAATCGAGATTAAAACAAATATAATTTTAATTTTTTTCTAGCATCATTTTATAGAATGTACAGCATAATAAATGAAAGGAAGCTCCAAATCGTTATCAGTACTTACAGCCCGTATATTATATATTTGCTAATTGTAATTTATCAACAATTCATTTGTCAGTTATCATTTATCAATAGTTTTATTTAGCTGATTACTTCTAACCAGTCTAACTTTTAACGATCCATGTGATTTCAATATATTTGCCACTCAAAAATTCTACAGGAGTTACTGTTGTAAAGATGTAAGAAGAAGCCGCGTTGTACTAAGCAATTAAGCTAGTAAAGCAAGTATTTGATAATTATTAAATGAACGAATCAGTCAATAAAATAATGCAAGAATTACTATCAACGTGCAGCACATAATTATCCTTATAATTTTGTAAATACATTTCTCTAACTGTAAATCAGTTTGTCTGCTTTGCCTCTGCAAACAGTCTTTATGATTTGTGTAACAACACAACAGACTATCGATCATTGAAACTGTGAATCGATATTTTAAAACATTTTACATGCCCCTTTAATTCTTTAATAGTAGCATAGATCGTCAAGATTCATATCAAACGAATCCATTTCAAACTTGACCTCCATTAACAATTTCATACTATTCAGATTTGACCTCCATCAAGATTCATATTAAAGAAATCCATTCAGGTTTGACCTCAATCAAGATTCATATAAAGCAATTCATTGCGAGTTTAACCTGATATTACCAATGTTTTTTCAAATTTTTCCTCTGACAAACGGATATAAAATTGAATTTTTCTGATGTCCAATTTGTTGAAACTAAAACGAAAATATATTAATCGTCAATTTCGAAGAAAATAAAATTTTTATTCTCATTTTCTTTTCTTTTCTCCATTTCAGTCATAAATTCTCTTAGATTTGAAAAGTTTTCAGACGCATTTCACTGAATTTAAACGATATAATGAAATTTTGAACATTTCTTTTTTTAATAGATTCCTCCCAGATATCTTTTATTAGTTATTCTATAGCAAAGTTTCAAAAATTACTTTTCTTCAACTTAATCTATCAGTCAAACAATACCCACTAATTACATAAATAAAACTTAATGTAACGGAAAATTATGCTAGCATTAATGTCAGAAAAATGTTGTATTAATAGATAATTTGTAAAATTAATCCGCTCATACAAAGTAAACATTAAAAACTTTATGTAAAGATAATTTAATACTGAAAGGTTTTAAAAACGAATTCAGAATGATGATTATTTCTATTAATTATGACAAATAATTCATACATTTTTATGCGCAAAAACGTGAACTAATTTGTAAAAGTTTAAAGTTTCGAGAAGTAAAAGTTAAGCACAATGTATGTGAATGTGGAAGATCTCTTTAAAATGATACTTATTAAAATTTGAGAATTGCTAAACTTAAGAATAAATTCAGTTAAATTTATTCAAAATTGTACGAAAAAAAAGTAAACTAAAAAAGAGAAAATTTTTTAATATCATATCACAGTACATAACATTCATATCAATGCAAAGTATCAATTAAAGCTAACATAGAATAGTCTGAGAGATGCAAAACAATTTCCTATAAAACTATTACAGAACAGGGTGAAAACAGCTCCTTTCAGTAATGAAATAATGTCACACATCACACTGCCAAGAAAACACGTTGTAATCACAACTATCATCAATACGTTAAAGCGCCATTTTGAAATTCATTTTCTAAAATTTAGATTAAAATTTTATGCTTATAAAAGACCTACAAAAATTTCACAAAATTGCCTTCATAAGTGATGTTTAAATAAAATTTTGGATATAATATAATTCAGAAAAAAATTCCGTCTTACTCCATTTCCATTTCATTTCGAGAACAGAAGAAAGACCCAACCTAATTGTCAACAATCGTCAATGATTACGTGATATCACGTCGTACATTTTGTTGTTGTCAGCGTGAGAAAATGCTGTTTACGCGAATTAATGCTGTTTACCAGTAACCCAGCAAATTAACGAAATTATTTACATTTCATCAGATTGAGCGATTGTATTTATATGCGTTAAAATTTCGGGCAACCATTTGTCAGTGTTTTTGCTAGAATTGACATGATATGATCTGATCTAATCAGTCAAATCAAACAAAAAAGTACATTTAATTAGGGTGTAATCAATAAAGTTGTTAATTAATTTAATATATACATCACCGATTTTGTAAGCCAGGAACTAAGAAATTCTCCATGCATTATAAGATTTTATTGTTTTATTGATGAGAGAAAAATATTAAGCTATTAATCGTTAATTAATTTAATTAATATACCAACATTTTATGCATTGCTTATTTAGTTTGACAAATGAATTCAATAACGAACCTTGCAAGAGTTTTTACTAGCAATTAATTTAATTTGCATTTTGATACAAACAATGAGGTGTAATATCTGAAATTACAGCCAAAATCAATTAGATGAAAGCGAATTGACATAACTAATGAATTATAATATTGAAATCACATAGTTGAAATGTAAATGAACTGTATCAGATGAAGGAATAATGAAATAATTTACGGGAATTGATTATTGAATTTCATCAGAGAATAACTGTACAGAATATTTCAAGATTCCAGTGTAGATAAAAATTTCATACAGTAAAAATTAGGTATGTTATCCAAATGAAAAAAAAAAAATTATTTAACATTTCTCGTCAATCCTTTATACTAAAGTTATTGCTAATATGAAAATTGTTTTTGGTCCATAAATTAAGTGATAAAAATTAGTAGAAAAAAATTTGACTGTTCTTTTTGCTAATTTTACTATTTTGTTTTTTTTTTCTGAAGAAGGGGAAGGGAGGCATGTGAGATTTACTATATTTTAGCTGTCTAATTTCTGAATTACTGAGTTTTTTTTTGTTTTCCTAGGTTTAATTGTTTTCTTTTGTTGGGCGTATCAACTCGACTTCAAATTTTGCATATTGATTTTTCTTTTTGCCGATTGGTTTTTTTTTTTATTTTTTGGTTTTTCTTTTGTTGTTTGTATACTGTGCATATTTGATTTAAATTTTGAATAAGTATTTTGAAAAGATAGTT